AAACAAATTTATGACGTCAAAAACGTTCGTCGGTTCTTGAACTAGAAGTCGAAGTCAGCCATTTTAATTTGTCAATTAGTCAAAAAAATTGAATGTGTCATATGAATTAATCTACGACAACCCTTTTAACTTCAAGTTATGACGTCTTCGATGTCAAAAGTATAAACTCTTGTGAAACGAACTTCAGAATCCAAATATGCAATAATCTAGTTGCATTCGATTGATCAGATTAGATACGACTTACTCAAGGGTGTCTTATTTAAAATAAGTAAGTTGACGTCAACTTCCGGTATGGTATAATCAGAAGTGCCACCATCTTGATATTATTTTAGCCGGATTGCCTCCATTGACATCAGTTACAGTGGCTAAATAATCCTTTACATACAGTGGCGACAATAGAGGTCCCGCCGCCATTTTGTTCCCAACCTTTTGTTACTTTTAAATATTAATATATAGGATTTAAATGGACATCTATTATAAAAAATTGAAGTCGACGTATTTGATGGCTATTATTAGATCCATCAAATACGTTGTTTTCCATGTTTTATGATGAATGTTCACCCAAATCCCATATATTCATATTTAAAATAAGCCATAGGTGGGAACAAAATGGCCGTGTTTATGGGGTAGTATACAAGTGATTTTTAACTACTACGTAGTGATATACTCGACGTATCGTACTATTTAATGTAATCAGTTGCTTTGTAAAAACCGCAATAGCCTGGAATTTTTTTTTTTTAATTTCGTCTTAGCTCCGCTCCTACGTGAAAATAAAAGTTCGTGACGTAGTTAGTTTTTTCAATCTGGCAACACACCACGGTTTTGAGAACGCACAATTTGCACTGACATTGACGTCAAGAACGAAACGTCAAATTTACTACATCAAACAACGTAAACAAGACTGGGAATTTGTCACATGCCACACGATTCACACGACACCACACGTCGTTGAAATGTTGAAGTCAGCTTTCATTTTGAGCAGCGTTGCCAGATGGTCAGCGGCTTGAATAATATTGGTCGCCGTTGTAGCGCTAAATTCAAATTATAGTTTGTTTTTCTCTGACTAATTCTATAGACACTATGCTGGAAAATAATCTAGTATCCCACTATACCATCACCATTTAGCCTATAGAATAATATCGAGCACTTTTTTTTACTAATTTTTATACATAGTATACTATCCCATTGTCGCCACTGTGGATAATAGAGTATAAGAGTCATTGTAACGTGATTGTAACATCAGTATATTGTCAAATTTTCAAAAATTTTATGCATACAGTTTTTCATATACAATGTAGATCTAAAGTCTGTTTTTTTTTTAAAAGATAATTCCCCAAGTCATAAATTTAGTAACTATGTTGGCAACACAAGCCTTTTCTAATAAAAAATTTGAAAGCTGTGTAGACGCACATCCCTGCTTTTCTACATAAAAAATTTGAAAGCTTGACAATTTTACATTGTATTGCCAACATAATGTCATTTTGACTTTTTTTTTTTTTTAAAAACACACTTTAGGTACTGTATAACAAGTTACAGTGATTCTTATAGACCACAATGGCGACAATTGCCGTCCTATTTTTGATTGCTGATTCCTAATCAAAGTAAGCAAGAATATGGCCTCTATTGTCATCACTGTATGAAATGGTTTATCGAGTTACTGTAAGATAAGTATTTTTTTTTACTACTAACCTGAGGAATAAGTCATTATTCAATCTATTTTTCTAGGAAAAAATTGAATTTCTCTCCCTAGGTGAATAATGAAAATAATGAAAAAATACCTAGGTTAATAATGAAAATGACGTCATGACGCAAGGATATTGTCATGTTTCTATTGGTTCAATTTCATTTCCATACGTCAATTTGAAAAAAAATACAGGTTTCTGTAGGTACATAGGAAGTTATCATAAGCTGTTGATAGAGGGCAGCACTTTCAAGAGGGCGTTCAAAAAAAATAATTGGAGCACAGATTTTAAACAAATTTTTCATTTTCTACTAGCAGTAGTAAAAAAAATTCTATATATTTCTCGGTAGAGAAAGTCATTATATACCTCACTCATTATAAACCTCGGCGCGAGCGCCTCGGTTTATATAAGCGCTCGGTATATAAGGACCAACTTCTCTACCTAGGTATATAATATACTATTTTTTTACTACTAACCTGAGGAATAGTCATTATTCAATCTATTTTTCTAGGAAAAAATTGAATTTCTCTCCCTAGGTCAATAATGAAAATAATGAAAAAATACCTAGGTCAATAATGAAAATGACGTAATGACGCAGGGATATTGTCATGACGTACCAGGTTTCTATTGGTTTAATTTCAATTTCAAACTGTCAATTTTAAAAAATGACAGGTTCCTGTACGTACATCATAGGAAATTCCCATAAGCTGTTGATAGAGGGCAGCACTTTCGACAAGACAAAATTATTTGAGCACAGATTTCAAACCTATTTTTCATTTTCTACTAGCAGTAGTAAAAAAAATTCTATATATTCCTTGGTAGAGAAAGTCATTATATACCTTACGCATTATATACAGGGTGTATATTTTAAGTGATACCTCTATTGCTATATCCGAAATGGTAAGAGCTACAAGGTCGGTTAAATTAGAAAAAAGTTGCCTTTTTTGATGCCCATTCAAGGCTTGTTTACAGTGTTGCCAAATTCCTTTTCGTTTATGAAATACAGGGTGATTTCTAAGAAACGCCTAAAAATATTTCATCAATTATTTAGAAAACTATTGATTTTGGAGACATAATTTGAATTTGAAAGTTTTTTAGTTTTTTTCGTTCTACAACAAGGCAACTTCAAATTTTGAATCAGACGTTTCGTGATCGAGCTACCATCATCAACTTTATTTTTTTAAATACAGACCTGGATTTTTTATGTCATTTTTAGAAAGCGCTTTTTATTCCCTTTCTAATGATATACCTCTTAAGTATGATTGATCGACGTTTCTGCTCCAATAAGTGATGAAAAGTGATTTTTACCAAAATCTTACCTTAATTCGGCCCTAGTTATGAACCTGTATTTAATAAACTAAAAGGAATTTGGCAATACTGTAAAAGAGTCTTAAATAGACGTCAAAAAAGGCAACTTTTTTCTAATTTAACCGACCTTGTAGCTCTTACCGTTTCAGATATAGCAATAGTGGTATCACTTAAAATATACACCCTGTATAAAAGTGCTCGGTACATAATATATAATGACCAACTGACCAACTTCTCTACCTCGGTATATAATATACTATTTTTTACTACTAACCTGAAATAGTCATTATTCAATCTATTTTTCTAGGAAAAAATTGAATATCTCTCCCTAGGTTAATATTGAAAATAATTAAAAAATACCTAGGTTAATAATGAAAAAGACGTCATAACGCAAGGATATTGTCATATTTTTATTGGTTATATTTCAACTTCATAGGTCAAATTAAAAAAAAAAATACAGGTTTCTGTAGGTACATAGGAAGTTATCATAGACTGTTGATAGAGGGCACCTCTTTCAAGAGGGCGTTCAAAAAAAATAATTAGAGCACATCACAAATTATTTATTTTCCACTAGCAGTAGTAAAAGAAATCTATATATTCCTCGGTAGAGAAAGTCATTACATACCTCACGCATTATAAACCTCAATTATTTTAGGTGAGTCCTAACATAGGTCTGTTTCTGCAGAAATCACAAACCAGTCAGAATGAATTTCATTGGTTGAAACTAGTTTTCTGACTGATTCTGACTGTTTTCAACCAATGAGATTCACTCTGACTGGTTTGTGATTTCTGCAGAAACAGACCTAAAATCTGTTTTTTTTTTTAAAGATAATTCCCCAAGTCAAAAATTTAGTAACTATGTTGGCAACACAAGCTTTTTCTACATAAAAAATTTGAAAGCATTGACAATTTTACATTGTATTGCCAACCTAATGTCAGTTTGACTTTTATCTTTAAAAAAAAAAACGCACTTTATTTAAGTATTCCCTAAAATAGTTGGTGGAAATGGCCATTAGAAAAATTAGAAAACGAAAATTCAAGATCCGGGAATAGACAAAATATGAGATGGAAAAATTGAAAAATAAAGAATAAATAAATATATACTTAGATAATAATAATATTAATAATAATATTAATAATAATATTAATAATAATACCTGAGTAAACATCAAAAAATTTGCAAAAATATGGCGGCGGGGGCGTGGATAACTTCTATATTCATATTCAAAATTTGCAAGAATATGGCGGCGGTACCGAATTTCTATTTGAAAAGGTTAAGTCACTGTAAGTGGGCCGGGGCCATTGGAAAGGGTTGAAAAGGAAACAACCAATCAAATACCTTGAGGATACATAAACCCCGGAAAGGGGCGGGGCTCAACTAACCAATTGAATGCCCTGCTGATATCACTCGCATCTGATTGGAAAGGGGCGGGGCTTATATCCAACCTATCAAATGCTTTGTTGATATCCTTGCGTACGATAACGAGTCAGCCACAGAGTGTTGCCAGCTTGACGGAATTATCCCCTTTTTGCCTTTTTGAGGAAATTTTCTATTTTTGTTTGCAAAAGGTAGAAGCGGAATTTTTAAAGATAAATGTCAAAATGACATTATGTTGGCAAAACAATGTTAAATTGTCGATGCTTTCAAATTTTTTATGTAGAGAAGGCTTTTTTGTTGCCAACATAATATATATAGTTACTAAATTTTTGACTTGGTATAATATACTACCTAGGTATATAATATACCATATTCCGGTTTATTTTGCCTTATAAATGCGACTCTGATTTATAAATTTTGAGAGTTCAGTCACTCACAACAAAGATTTTAAAAGAATTTTCAAAAACATTCAAAAAGGTCTCTATTCCAGAGACCTCCAAAATCTGCTTCCAGTTTATTTTGCTTTATAAAAGATACTTAAACATAAATAATTATCAGAAAAGCTCAAAAGTTGTAATAGTTATAATAATTTAGTAGGAAGTTTAGCTAGAATACTAGTTAATAAAAAAAAGTGTACTAGTTAATAAAAATCAATATATTTTAAATATAAATACAAAAATTAAATAATAATAATACATCCAGATAAGTTAAAAATGAATGTTAACATAATAAAATTTTGTCACTTATAAAAGTTGTAAGCAATAGATTGTTACTATTACACTTAAATCTTAAAAAAAAAAGAATTAATCATAAACTAATACTGAAATTATTATTGTTAGACACCGCTATAATAATTAAAGACAGTAGGTATATTGTTTTTGGCATTTTTTTTTTAAACAGTTTATAGAAAAATACAGCTTTATTTGTTTCGAAACACCTATATAAAAAGCACAAATACCACCTTATTTGGCACTATAATACAAATTTACGATTGACACACTCCAAAGAAAATTAGTACAAAATTGCATTTTGTTTTTTTTTCATGTAGGAAGGATTATTATTTACAATTTGTAATAAATTTAATTCACAACACAAATTATTAAATGATAAAGGAATGATTATTTAGATATCACATTGCATATTCATTTATGTAGTTCAAGATTAGTACCTTACTAGTAAAAAGTGTGAAAAAGTTAAAACTGCACAAAAATTTGATTTTTATATAACAACAAATATATTCTGACCCGTAATAGATTGTTGCTCGTTATTATAAACCAAAAAAATTAGCTGGAACATTAGGATAATTGATTTCCGTTAACAAAAATAAAATTAGGTGTAGCATAATAATGAAGATTTTTAGTCAAAAATATTGCTCCGAACGGATAACTGTAATTCCACAGCCATAAAAATATGTGTAATTCTCCATAACAAAAAAAAAAAAACAATGATGAGGGCTAACATGTTAATAATGATGGCCAAGAATTGATTCCTAATTTTTTTATTTTTTTCAAAAGTTTCAAAGACCTCAGATGTGGCATAAGTACTTGAGTCGGCAACGCCGCTCGAGAATCGGTATAGCAGCCCTCGGCGCAGGGTCCAGCAGTTGATATCAGGTAAGCGTACCACAGGCTGCTACACCAGAGATCTTAGTGACTTCAAAGTGTTACAATCAGGTTCCCAGGCCTTGAAACCCTGAAGCTTCGTTTTTGAAATCTCAAAAGACTAGAAGAACTTGAAATGCTACAAATCATATCTTAAAAAGTTTATATGATAGACTATGATTTGAGAATAAAGACTGTTGATTTAGGCATAAAGACTATAAAATTTCAGATTGTAAAACCAAATCTGAAGGCTGCAAACTGGTCACTATAATCTGTTAACCCTCATTTCATTCAATATATAGCAAAAAATATCAAATTCTTACTCATCCACACTAACATAATCATTTTCATCCGACAACAATACATCTAAATCGCTTTGGACGGTATGCACATTTGAATCTATATCGACCGTTGCCAAATCTATCGTATCGTAAGGCGCCGGTCTAATTCCTTCCGGAGATTTCAAGTTATTATTCGAAGTGGCAGCGGCAATTACAGGAAGATCAACGCTGCTTTGCACTAAAAAGGCAGTTCTAGGTTTTTTGATCGGTTCGACTATTGCACTAGTAGTTTTTTCCGGCTTTTTCAATTTCAAGCTGAACTTGAACGGCGGTTTGTAGACGACTTGTACGCGCACTTTGTCCTTTTCGTTCGAAGGAATGCTGGCGACGCTGCGCGATTTACTCTTGTCCGGCCTGGATGGACGTATGGTAGGTTTGGTGCGGACGTTAGTCAATCCCACCGGGGTGCTTTTCGATTTTGGTAAATTGTATTGGTTTTTCAGCCAGTGGTGGACTTTGCCCACCGGATCGGTGGATTCTTGGGTGATGGTCGTGTGGACTACTGGAGTTGTGGTGTTATCGTTTTTACCGTCGATGTCCGGCTGGATAGAGCTGTAGTCGATTATTTCTTTCTTTTTGTTTTTCTTTTTCGATTTCGGGTTGAGTTTCTTGACTTTGCTATAAGAAAAATCAAATATATATTCCTTTTTAACATAACAGATAAAAAAATAATAATTACCTGTGAGGTATTTCCAAAATATCCTTATTCTTTCGTCCAGTTTCCTCCGCTCCAATAGCTGCACTTATCCTCTTTTTCTTTTTCGGCGAACTCTTTTTAGGACTATTCAAATTGTTATTGGCTCCCTTATCGTTACCGGGACTATTTCCGGCACTCTTTTTACTAATAGCTGGTTTACCGTCTTTAGTTTTCCCTGTCGATTTTCGTTTCTTCCTTATTCTGCCATCTCTCACGCGTTTTTTCAGAGGCACTTTCGATCGAATGCCCTGATGGATGATGACTGCACCGTCTTGACCGTCCGATGGTAATCGAACGGCTTCGGTAGTTTGGTTATGCATTATTGTAACGGATTTTAGTTTGAAGCTGGGACGTTTTCCTAGGTATTTAGTGCTGAGGATCTGAAAAGTAATTTTTTTCAAAATATGTTTTCAATACATGTAAAATAATATTTAGTTTTGAAAAAATTTTTGGCACATTACTAAAGTTTAACACAATGTTTCTCCTGAATAACTTCACATTTGTGGAACAATGTATTTTACTGCTAAGACAAAAACCTTACAAAATGACTAGCCAGGGAGCAGGGTCCAGGGGACTGTTTATGAAATTATTACTCAAAATAATTTCCTTATGTTGTTGTATGTGATGAGAATTTGATATACAGACCGGACCAACCTACTAGACACATAAGGAGAATAAGAGGAATTAGCTTGTACCTGGTGTCAGTAAATCGAGGCAATACTGCCGAAGACGAGTATAGTTGAGCTGCCGAAGATGCAAGAATTTTATTAGCATGCAGTAACCTGTGTAATATGGATACCAGTCAACTAGTCCCATTGAATCATGTGTGTCTAGTAACTAGGGCTGGGATTCTATAACGAATAGAGTTATTTTTGCTATTTCTATTGGCGTCCCCTCTATTGAGTCATATTATTGGCAACGACGCAGCAGGTGATTTTTAGGGAGGGGGCATCGAAACGGGGTCAAATAACGGCTCTCCGCAGAGAATAAGGGAGAAGGGTACGGAAAGCGACAAAAGACGTATGGGCGCGTTTAATCCTGTGAAGTTGTGACTGTTGTACCTGAATGTGTTCAATTCATGTTCAACCATAAATATTTAATTATATTTAATTCCACATAAAAAAATACCAGGGCCATTAATTTCAACCTCTAGATGACACATGAAAAAACCTACACATTTTTGGGCTCGTCCGGGAAGTAGGCAGAAAATAGTTAAATTCGTGGTCAAACACATTGTTGATTCTACCGAGATTCTCAAAAGTTCACACTACAGAATATATAATATATTCATTCTGGGTGTGCATACTAATTGGGCGGTTCACAGAAGCGTGTGTTCACATTAGCGCGATTGTACTGTAACTTCTTATTGCAAGCAAAAGTACTAGAAGGATTAACGAAGATGGGATACAGCCGATACAGGTCTATATATAAAAAGGATGAAGAGAATTTTTTAATGTTGAAAAATACTGATGAACGTCCAAGTGATGATGAAATATATGCCAGTCATTTACAGAATAATGAACATAAAGAGAGGTTGTTAAAATTGGTGGGAAACTATAAACCAGAAAAGACGAAGTCGAGTGAAATAAAAATGAAGATATTATTGAAGACAGAAGAGCCAATTTACCAATGACCACGAAGACTTTCACCTTCTAAGAAAATCGAAGTTGATAAGAAAATAGAGGAGTGGTTAAAGGAGTGGATTCCCACGGTATCGAAGAAGTCCCCACGGTTGGGCCGGGTCAAATTCCCAAAATTTCAGATCAAAGGCTTCGATCTACAGATTTTCCCACGGTATCGAAAAAGTTCCCACGCTCAAGAGCCTTCAGCTATCAAACCAATACCAACCTCTACTACGTTTAAAATCTTTTACTCTGAAAAGGTACCTCTTTCCATATCCCTTCACTTTCTTGAAAACTAAAGAATTTTGTTTAAATATTCTTTGAATATTGTTTAAATATTCTTTAAATATTGTTTAAATATTCTTTAAATATTCTTTAGTTTTCAAGAAAGTGGGGGGATATGGAGAGAGGTACCTTTCCAGAGTAAAATATTTTAAAAGTAGTAGAGGTGGGTATTGGTTTGATAGCTGAAGGCTCTTGAGCGTGGAAACTTTTTCGATACCGTGGGAAAATGTCTAGATTGGCGCCTTTAATCTGATATTTTGGGAATTTGACCCGGGCAACCGTGGGAACTTTTTCGATACCGTGGAAAAATCTCTAGATCGGTTGCCTTTGATCTGAAATTTTGGAAATTTGACCCAGGCTAAACCCAAAATTTGTGAATCTGGTGGACCTTCTACGTAGAAGAGGTGGGTATTGGTCTGATAGCTAGGGGCACTAGAGTCAAAAAAGTGCTGAGGAGCTTCACGGAAGGGGGTTTACAGTGGAGGTGGGTAGTGGTATGATAGCTGTGAAAACACTCTACTCGGACACAATATTCTTTCATCGGTCTTGGGAAATCTTTCCCTGTAAATTCTAGCGGCTCAATGGGCATTTTGTAACGATTCTGCCCAAACAAGGTTCTGCATATTCGACGTTTTTAAACATTTTATTTTCAAAAAAGAATCAATTACGCGCTTCCAATGCTTCAACTAACTAATATAAGACAAATCAAGTGTGTGTGTTGTGCTATGTTGCCAGATGTTTAGATACCGATTTACTAGTGAAATTTTCATGTTGTTTTTTTTTTTTAATTTTTTACTATTGTTGTTGATTAAAAATGCCTTATGACTTGATAATTGAATAAACTAAACTTTTTTTGTTCAAAATAGGCCATATTTTCACGTGTTGAAATTTTTGTAATCAAACCTGATACACCCTGTATATGTGATGCTGCAGGAAATGACCTAGCTTTTATTCCAATGCAAACTTGCTTGTTCAAACAATTTCAAACTTGTAGAAACCTAGCTTACAATGTAGCTGCTTTTAGCGCTAACAAGCCTTAACTTACGTGTTTTATAATGCCATAAAACCAATAATATTTTTATCTAATGAGAATAAAATATAAATTAATAACAAACTAATTGTTTTAGTTTTGAAACTTTACACTTACCAATAAAGTTACTATAGCAATTAATATCGCAGCTACAGCATACCAATAATCCATAATCCATCTTTTGAAACTAGCAATGCTCTCTTCACTCAATAAAAGTTTCCTTAATGTAGCTAGAGGCCCTGAAGGGTCTACTTCTCTGCACATTTGGAACACGTCACAGTAGCCAGAGTAATCGTTACAAGGAGTACCTAGTTATAAAAAAATATTCTATTAGAAAAAACTAGTATGATGAACCACAAAAATTCTTACCAGGCTTAGAAAACATATCAGGTATATCATAAGGCATGTCGTTCCACTCAAAACTGGACAAGCAAGGCTGAGTATCGCCAGGAAGTTTACAGCACAGCTCGCAAGCTTTCGTTTTCGGATCATTTTTGCCTGGAATACATTGGCAAGATTCCAGACCGTATGCCAGACAAATGGAACCAGTACATTCCTACAAAATAATGTTTTGAAATGTTCTCACAAAAACCTCAAATTCTTACCCCCATGAAGCAAACAAATTCCTTATTACAAATCGTTTTGTTGGGCTTGTTGATTGAAGGAGGACATTGAGGTTCACGTCCATTGCAAAAACTTTCGTCTCGGCAACCGTTATCGTCACGACATTTGTCTCCAAATTTCACCTGGCAGTCTGGAGTACAACATGGACCCTAAATGGAGTTAACATAAGTACAAGCTTTTATCTCAACTTAAAACCAATTCTAATAAATTCTCTCATTTCCTTCTTCCCTTTTCTGCTACAGTAATTATATTTGAAAATTCTCAGCCCCTCTTTTTTATTAGACGGTAGAAATATTAAAAATTAAACTTTAAGAATTTTGTAGAATTTGATTTAACATTGAAAGAGCCCATCAGAGAATTTAAATTGAAATACCTTTTAAAATGGAAACAGAAGACTACCTATATTTTCTCTATTTATTCTAGAAAAAAAAAAAGATTTATAATTTGAAATATCACAGCTACTTTTTTTATTGTTTCATTTCGACTTAAGAAGAAACCTCGAAAATTTTTAAAAATGAAATTTAAAAGACGAGATTTCCTATTTAAATATTTAGTTATAGAACTTTCTCGCAAATTGAAATTTCATTAAAACTATTTAGGTGGAAGGCAGTTGAAATGCTATTAAATTAAATTCATAGCGTTCCCAATTTGAGTTTTAACTCCGTAATTAAAAATTTTAATTGCATGCCTCAATTGTATATTCTTACCTGCGATGGACTGCAAATACTTCTTGGTGTAAGTCTACAAGGAGGTTCATCTAGCGGAGGATATCTACGCATAGGAAAGCAACATTGATCACTACAATCTTCTTCCCATCCACAATCACATTCTTCGCCTTCTTCCACTACACCGTTACCGCATATGGCAGCTTTGGGTTCTAAAAAATGTCCAATCCCTTAATGAGATATTCTTATGTTTTAAAAGAAAAAATCCAATTAAACTCGTTTCCGTAAAATCACGGCCCAATATAATTAATTCAAACCTTTTCTTAATTTCCTTAGAGAACGTTTTGGCTCAATCGTTTTAATTAAAATGCGAACAGTTTTAAACAAAAAAGTAATTTACCAGTGAAACATCCTTTGGCACTTCTGGCTTTGTAGTTCAGAACAGGGTTGATGCTTTTAAGACTGCACGGTGAGAATTTGTTGTTGTTTTTCTTATCTCCTGACGTCGCTCTGGCGAACATTATGAAATTTCCATCTTCGCCACCTGGAGTGCATTGTTCAGGATCGTGCTAAGAGAAATCTCACATTTAAATATTGATATTGATATCAATAAGCAAGGAGAAATTCGAAGAAGTATGGAAAATAAATTGACATACCGGAGATCCAAAATTATGTCCAATTTCATGCGCCAATGTAACATGACTGACTGCTGGCGGTACATGCTTTCCGTAATTCAGCAACGTTACTATTCCGGTGTTTAGTGATTTCATGCTGCCCCTGTAATGCTTGAGACAAAAAATATCATGTAACTTTGATTGATGAATAACGAGGTATTCGATTCTTACCCCGTTTTTCTCACAAACTCCTCCTGCATTTTTAAGATCCCCCGTCCAGGCGAGCCCTAACGTTCCCATTTCGAAATCCCTATAGGTGAACATGTAGGCGAGACAAAATGCGTCATAATCTTCCTCTGAAAATAAAAAGATTTTTATTAATGTGTAACGAAGTTACTTTTTTTTTCCGCTACTCGCTACTGTTATCCCGCATCCGAACCGGTTTTCAGATCCTATTAGATATACTATCGCCACTACTAGATAAACGCCCTGCCTCTACGCAGGAAGTACCACCACGCCACCCGATGTCGTTTCGTGACGACGCCACCAAAGTGGAGAGGAGTACTCAACGAGGAAGGGAGGAAAATTTGGTGACACTATTCTGATTTATTTTATTGTAAGGAATTTATTCTCAGTACCGTTAAATTTGTTTAACCCATTGTTGCTTACAGTGGCGGCTCGTGACTATTTCAAGTGAGGAGACAACAGAATGCCTTTTGGATTAGTGAATTCACCAGCTATCTGGCAACGATTAATGATGTGTATTCTTTCCAAGTTTATTGGAACACTACGTATACTTGGATGATATTATATTATTTTTATCAGGAAATATTGATATATATTGAATTTTGAAATGTTGAAACGATCGGTTGGGAAATAGCGGAGCTATAAACGAAAAAGTAACATCGTGTCAGATTGCCGCAATTTTTATCTGGCCAAAATTCGGAAAAAAAAATTCAAAATCAAGAAAGATGGGGAGGCTAACTTTTTTCCGGTATATCGGACAGAACTGAAACTCGGAATATCGACTAAAAATCACATTTTGAATATTCCCGATGACCAATAGAATTATAGATTGGGCCCCGTAATTAAATTAACTTTAGCCCTTCGGGCTCGCGTATAACTCCCGCCCTTCGGGCTTGCGTATAACTCCGGCCCTTCGGGCTCGCGTATAACTCCGGCCCTTCGGGCTCGCGTATAACTCCGGCCCTTCGGGCTCGCGTATAACTCCGGCCCTTCGGGCTCGCGTATAACTCCGGCCCTTCGGGCTCGCGTATAACTCCGGCCCTTCGGGCTCGTATTACTGAGTATCCCAGATTCACAGATTTTTGTCGTGGAGGCGCGGGATTGATTGAAATCATGTTGTCAGATTTTTCTAAATTACATTGAAATATCGAAATTTGGAAAGTGTAATTTGTGAATTATTATTTTAATTAGGAATCAGGATAAAAAACTGAGATTAAATTTTCAATTTTTTGGGGGAGGCTTAGCCTCCCCTGCCTCCTCTGACGAGCCGCCACTGGTTGCTTATGAATTTAACTCCGCACGTCTGCCCACCAGTGGGACACTTATAAACTTATAAAGGCCGTAGAGACATATCTTTTATTTATTTGGTTGTTTGCTTTCTTTTGAAATAAATCTGTTGGTTACTACCGTGTATTGTGAATTTCTATACAACTCCCTGCTCCTACTATTCGTGCCCTGGACATTTTGTACTTCACTTAGCTACCTTACGGCTGTCCGTAAGCGATCCCTTTGTAGCTTTCAAAAAACTCAAATGGTGGCGCACGAGCAAGTTCCGCCGAAACCCGACCAACCGTCCAACGGAAAGCCAGAAGGCTTCACAAGTTTGGCGCCCGAGCAGGGACCGTTTAGATTAGAAGGTAAGGAATTCTCTAACCATCGACCTTGTGAAGTTCGCTTATTTTTTTTTCCTTTTCATTGTGGTCTTTTTTTAAAAAATAATTTCTCTTCTTTGTATACCGACTTTCCAAAATGAGCAATAGCAAAGCTGCTGAATACCCCAACCGACCCCAACGACTCTTGTGTAGGGTGGATCTACAATCTCCGGAGACTTGAAGTTGTCACGGAGTAACAGAAGTTCGCATTGAACACTATTGGCACAATGCACGAGCTTCGAAGACGCCTAATTAAATTCATCAGGGATGGAAACCGCATTCCAACAAAAGTAGCACCTTCTTTCGTCTCCCCTGCAAACCCTACCACCACTACGGTACCTTCAGTCATTAGCCCCTTGCCGTCCCCCTCAATCAATCAAACCCTACCTGGTGTAACAACATGTAACAACACCCTCCGCTAATCTTTTACCGAAAATAAGGCACTGGAATATCCAGTTTTCTGGGCGAGGAGACACCGCTGCTTTTCTGGAGCGACTGGAAGAAATCTATGTCACACAACAAGTAAGCTCCGACAGTTTGCTACAGGTTCTCCCTGAACTACTCCAGGAAGAAGCCGCTCTGTGGTTCCGAATTATTGGTTAAGCTGGGATGAGTTCATTCCAGCATTCCGCACTTGTTGTTTTCCGGTAAACTATGAGGTGGACTTGGAAGCGAAAATTAGCCGTCATTCTGGGGAGTGCGCGATAGCTTACGTTACCGACAAGCAGACCATGACTAGGAGAATAAAGGTGCTAGGACAGTTCAACAGCAAACCCCATATAAATCTTCTGCCTCCGCCGCCGAGGCAGGGTCATTGACCACAGCAGCCGCACATACAGGCGACTTGTTACCTGATACAAGGTACCTAGTACTGATGATGACGGAGCTTGCACCTCGCTCTCTTGCTCTCATACCTCAAACCTTATACCTCTCTCTCAGCACATATCTCATACATAATCATTTGTCCGGGCCCCGTAGAAAAATGTTTTGAAACTGGAGCACTGAAAAAACGTTGTGTCACTTAAGTGTCTTAAAGACGCTGGAATAACTAACTAGACTTTGAATGAATGAAGAACAACATGTATTATCGCCAGGAAATATGGTTTTTGTTATTGAGATAACAGGATTTCGAATAAATTAAGCAAGTTCGCAAATTTGTTATCAGCGGCAGAAATTAAAATTATTTAAAACTAATATTTGGGGCTTGCCGAAAAATGGTGCCCGGTCAAATGATTATGTATAAGATATGTGAGTGAGAGAGAGGTATGAGGTTTGAGGTATGAGGGCAAGAGAGCGAGGTGCCAGCTCCGTAATCATCAGTACTAGGTACCTTGTATCAGGTAACAAGTCGCCTGTATGTGCGGCTGCTGCGGTCAGTGACCCTGCCTCGGCGGCGGCGGCGGCTGGTGAGGTAGCGCAACCGGTAATGCAGACCTGGGCGCTGGAAAGTGGGCGGGGCTACCTGGAAATGGTCGAAAAAGTGGCAGAATAGACCTTAGCGTTTTCTTATCGAGATTTACATGGGGTTTGCTGTTGAATTGTCCTAGCACCTTTACTTAGGAGGCATGGTGGGATTTCCTCAATTCAGGAACTCCAGTGGCTATACCGCCACTTGCGTCCCGAACACCGACATTATATCCACTGATCTGACTTCCACGATATTCAATCATTCTCAAAGATGATGCGAGAATATAGGCTACTACACTAGGAGCTGAACGCTCCTGAGGAACCCCGGCAAAATTCAGTCCTATGTAATCCTGTTTCCACAGACCAACCCCCTCAAGTTAACCGTCCAACCCAGTCAGCCGGCCTTACACCCTTAGTCGCAGTACCGTATGTTAATACCGCCCCCGACAAACCACAGGATTAAAGTGTTGGCGATGCGGCCAAACCGGACATCTTTGGGATACCTGCACGAACTCACAGAAACTGTTTTGTTTCCTTTGTTGAACTGAAGGGGTGCTATCCCGAGACTGCCGCTGTACTGCGGGAAACTAGATCGGCGCCGTACTGCTAGGAGATCAGTACGGAGTTTCGCCCTCATCTCATCAGTCGAGAGACTCCGAAACCGTGTGGAAAACCGAACGTATGTTCCGGTTACCGTTGACCAGCAAATATTCCTGGCTTTGCTGGATACAGGGGCTATTAGCTCGTTTATCGGCGACAAACTGGCCCAATATTGCAAAAGGATCACTTCCCAAAAGCAAGAGAACATGCCAGGGAAAACCCTATTAGCAAACGGCCAATCGATCAGTACCCAAACCGGCTATGTTTTGACTTTGGAACTAGGCTCCACCATCCTCGAAGCACAGTTCAGTCATTTACCCGATTTAACTGCAGATTTGGTAGTTATGATGGACATTTTATCCGTACATGATTTCGTCAGTCTGTCACGTTAAATCAAGAACAAGTGTCCACACCAGCCAAACCAGATCAAGTCAATCTTTTAGAATTCGAGACTCCGAAAGAATTCTCGCCGCCCTTAACATTGACTGCCAGCGAGGAAATCCAGTTGAAGGAATTCTTAGACATTGAGCTACCAATGTTTGAACAAATCACTCGAACGACTCCACTGGTAGCACACAAATTCCATTCAACTGACTCAGAACAACTAACGGTCCACAAAACCCACGTATGCAGAAGATTTATTAACTCTGAAGTTGATGAAATGCTTCTTGAGGGTATTATTGAACCGTCGAACAGCTCGTGGAGTTTCCCAATCGTGATGGTTCGTAAGAAAGATCGGAGTCGCAAAGATGCATATCCACTGTCGTTCATTAACAATATCCTGGACATACTCCGCCGCGCCCGATACATCTCCAGCATCGACCTCAAACAAGGATACTGGCAGGGGCCGCTCGCTAAAGATAGCCGATTGATAATCGCTTTTACCCTTCCATCTCGGGAATTATTTCAGTTAGGGCTAGGGCGGACATGGCATTACCAGCCCGCGTGGTCACGCAGCAAAGGAGAGTTTGTAGTCCAACCAGACTCCTAAGTATTTGACTTCGGGATTCGGCGTAACGATTCTGTCCATAATGTTCAGGTCCCTGTGAGGGACAACTGACAACTCTATTTGAGGAAAGGATAATTGCTTCGGTCTTCTCCTCACATAGCTCGAGGTGGTTTGCTTGGAGCCAGCACCTGATGCCGGTCATTGCCGCTCCTATCTTGGCTTCTGCCACGTCGATGTCTCTGGCCAGGACGACTATAGCGACGTCGTCTGCGTAGCCGATCAGTGACACCCCCTCTGGTTGTCTTAAATTGAGAAGGCCGTCGTATAAGATGTTTCAGAGGCTGGGTCCCAGGACTGAGCCCTGTGGGACGCCGCAGGACATGTAGAACCGGTCCTTGGGGTTTTCTGCCACCAGGACGATAGCTCTGTCCGTGAAGTAGTCTTAAATGAGATTGACCAGGTATCGCGCTGCACCTCTCCTCTTAAGCTCCCCTATGATCAT